AAGGGACAATAGTTCAAAGAACACAGTATTGCTACAGAAGTGGATATATCAATGGGCGCTATTAAAATGCAAAATGTACCACGTAATACAGGATTTAGTTTATGATAAACGTGGCATTTTAGAACAGTGGACAAATGCTGGTGCAGTCTATAGGGTTGATAAAATATGTAAGAAATAAGAGCAGTTAGATCTTGGCTTCATCCCATCTGCAAAGATTAAGTGCAGATCCCAAGTAGTGGCTTTTCCAGGATGTGTTTCCATGCCCCATGGCACCAGGCTGCAGTGCCAGCCATTTTCCATGGAGGTATCTAGGATCCACCCTTTCCATAGAGCTCGAGAGGACTTGGGGCTGTGCTACTGGGCCTGCCTCAGATGGGCGCTGCTCTCGATGGATGCCACCCTTGGGCCCACACTGGTACACAGCCGGGAGGGCACAGTCCTGTAGGGTATGAGGGATTGGGGCTGGATCAAGGGAATGACAAGGCTGTGAGAAGCAGTAACCACAGGGTCCACTGGGCTGCACTAGAGTGTGCTGAGAAGACTTCTTTGAGCAAAAGTATGGAGGCAACTGGACAGTGTGGTCACCACCGAGGGACAAGAGGTGAAAGGAACTGTGGGTGAGAAGGGAATAGAGAAGGGCCTCTGTCTACATGAGGGCGTTCAGCAGGTAGAGGGAAGTCTGATTCCACGGCTCTGAGCAGCATACAGCCTTGTATCCTGTCTCATCAATGGGTAACGGCTGTCAGCTGAGGTATAAGAACAAGCAAAGTGGGAAGTCTCTAAATCAGTAAAATTTAATTATTAGAATTATTTTAAAAATAATTTCTTGGGCAAAATTTTGAGTTCGGTGCTGGCAGGGTTTTGAGCTAATGTGTCTCAGCTTACAAGGAAGGATTAAACAACATAGAGGCAGTCCACAGAGCCCATCTGTATTGGTTTATTTTTACTTGCTATGACAAAATACCAGAGATTAGATACTTAATAAAGAACAGAAATTTATTTAGCTCAAAGTTTTGGAGGTCCAGGTTGGGTGGCCCACTTGGCTTGGCCTCTGATTGGGGCCTCATTGTGGTTGGTACCGAAATGGGGAGAAAACAGGAAGCCAGAGATCCAGGGTCAAGGCTTGCTTGATTTATAATAATGTGCTCTCAGGAACAAGCCAGTGTCCCATGAGAACTACATTAATCTCTTCCAAAGGATGTGCTCCCAATGACCCAGTTACCTTCCTTTAGATAGGCCTCATTTTTTTTTAACCACTTTCCAGTGTGTCTGCACATGGAGCCAAGATTCCATTGCATGAGCCTGTGAGGGTGTTACACAAACCATATCATTTATGTGACATGTCCCTCTCTTGCCAGAGGAGTTGTGGGTGCACCAGCCCCAGGGTGCTGCCTAGTGATTCCATCATGAGCCCCCTGCCCAGCTAACAAGGACATGGAGTGGGTCTGTAGCTTCCTGAATTTCCAGCTTCCAGTGGGGACTTCTGACTTTCATGGAGTCTGATTAGCCCAATATTTAGCACAAACCAGATTCCAAATGGAAACCTGTCCTCCAGGGTGTGCCACAGCCCAGAGGAGGGCCTCTGAGCTTGTTTTCCAGTTGTAATCATCTGGTCCCACTCCAATAATTCTGATGTAATCAGTCTACTCTAGGACAGTGGTTCTCTGTGGAAGGCTCTGAGACCAGCAGCAACAGCAGCTGCATCTTTATCTGAAAATACCAATCCCTGGGCCCAGATATACTGAATAGGAAGAAGCTGGAAGGAGCCAGAAGCCTGCAGTAATGAGCCCTCCAGTGACTCTGATACCCACGAAATGCTGAGAACAGTTGGTCCAGAGCAAGACTCGGAGGTCAGTATTTTTAAAAGCCCCCACGGATTCAAATACTGCAGTCTGATTGGAAATCATTGCCTTAGGCCCAGGATGGCGAACCTTTTAGATTGTTCAATGATACAAATAGCCTGCTGCACCATGTGTGCCGTAGGTTCGCCACCACTGTGGTCTAGGCCAATGGTCCTGAAATTTTGCTACATGGAGTAGAGGAGGTGCCAGTAGTGATGATGCTATAGATTCAAACCATTAAAACCTTGATCTGTTTCCAGTCATCCTGATTTAGTTTTGAGGTCAGGAAAGCCACAGATCTTTCTCTCACTCTCCAGGTGAGTGTGAAGGGGAGTCAAGGCTGGGAACCAGTGGACACCCCCACCAGAGGGAGCACAGCCTGTGCTGTGGAAGGGAGGAGATTCTGGCATCAGGAGGGTCATGCTGCTCATAATTCAGGGAGGAGAGTGAGCAGCTGCCAGCTGCCTAACACATGCCTGGTGCTGTGCTACTTGCATCACCTCATGTATCCTATGTCAGTCTTGGTGGGTAGGCAGTGCTGTCATTTCATGCAGGAAACCACCTGCACAGCCTGTGGCTCTTTCCCGCTCCTGTCTGCCTGTTACTCAAGCTTTGTCAAGAGATCCCCTTGGATGGTAGCCATGCTGCCCAGAGCTGGGGTCTCTGGCAATCATTTTCTTTGCAAGGCCCTGATCCTACCACGTGATGGCTCCTTCCAAGGTGGTTGGAAGAGATTAGGACAAAGTCTGGCAGGCTTTAAGATGCTGAGTGGTCATCTCTTTCTCTTCCTGGGGAAGGTGATGTGGGAGATGGGGAGGGTCTGCCCAGGGCTCTGCTCCCCATGGGGAGTGCCGGTGGAGGAGCCAGAGCATGCAGAAAGGAGGTAGACAGAGCCTCAGGCCCTGAGCCAGAGAGGCCCAAGTTGAGGAGAAAGTACTTAGTAGACTTGAGTACTGAGACTGCCCAGAGATCCCATCCTGTCCCATCCCCGTGCTCCTCACACAAGACTCTCTGTTGGGTATGTTGATCAGGTCAGCTCCCATCACAGCCTTGACTCCAAAGGCCACAGCTCCAGGAGCAAACAATTTCACTTTTGGGGCATTGATTTCCCACACTCTCTAATCAATCTAATGATGAAGATGATTGGCAGCATTTGTTGAGCCTTTTTATGCCAGGCACTCTTCCAAGTGCTTTTGAGACAAGGGTGCCTGATTTCAAGAGCTTCAGAGAGCCCACGAGGGTCCTAGATGACTTCACCCCACAGTCTCCCTGGATAATCCTGCCCCTCTGCCAATGTTTCAAATGTCCCCATCCCAAGCTGGGAGAAACCCTCTCCCTACCCACGCCAGCCTGGGATGGTAGGCCCGGTATGCCTGCAGGATGAAGCAGAAAATCTGCAGCTCACTAGCAGGCAGGAGACTATGCATGTGTGGACCTGCCCCTCCTGTGTACATAGCAGTTCTTTTAGGACCCTTGCTGAGTAAATCTGAGTAACCTCCATCCACTATATGGCTCCCTCTTATGGTGCCATGTAGATCCTAACAGAGGCTCTTTTGGATGGGTTTATTGTGCCCATTTGTGATTTCTATCTTCAGTACAGCAGGTCGAGCTGGTTGCACTAAAAACGCCTAACACTAGAGGCTGCTGGCACTGAAAGCAGTCGGTAACTGGGGCTGGTAACATGGAGGGCAGTCAGCAGCCACTGAGTGATGGAGGGCAATGCGGAGCTGCTACCTCTGGCTGCTGAAAGAGTTCTAAGCTCTGCTCAGTGGAAGAACTCCAGAGAGATAGAGAGCTGTTGGTATCTGCTGCTCTAGCTGCTAGGATAAGAATGAGGAGAGCTGCTAACTCGAAGGGTAGAGAACTACTGACACTCAGGACTAAGGGCTGCTAACAGATTACTGTTAAGACAAGAGCTTCTGATACCCAAAGCTCAGAGCTGCCAACATGGAGAGAGCTACACTCTTCCTATTCGTAATTTCTCTCTGATTTGTGCAAAAGAACCCCCCAGCCAATTGGTTGCACTTTCTTGGAATGTATCCCTAAATATACAAAACTGATGAAGAAGGGACTTGTTACAGTTTAGCTATAAAATGTCCTCCGCAAGTCTCGTGTTCAGAGGAAAGGCCTGCTGGCCTCACTGGTGGTGTGACTTGGAAGGGTACATTTTCCTGCCTGGCCCCTCCCTTCTCTTATGCATTCTAGTCGCTGTGCAGTAAATGGCTCTCCTCTGCCGCCCTGCTCTCCCATGCCATTTCTGCCTTGGAGCCAGCAGACCATGGGCTGAATCTATGGAAACTCTGAAGCAAAACCTCTCCTCTTTTAAGTTGTGGATGTGGGATATTTTGTCCCAGTGATGGGAAAGTTCCTCATATGGGTTTTCTATCATGCTCATTTTACAGGTGAAGAAGGTGAGGATAGAGCGACCAAACAACTTGCCCAAGGCCACACAGAGAACTAGAGTCCGTAGACTTACCCTGCCTACCCTGCCAATGCAGGTTTGGCGCAAGAGTGTTTCATTGAGCACATACTCATGGGTTCTCCTTCAGGTTCCAGGCTATCCTTCCTCACCAGTCAGGGATGCACTGGGAGACAGAACCATGTCAGAACAGAGAATCTATTTTATATAAAAAATTGTCCACAGGCATAGAATTGTAACTGAGGGGGCACAAGAAGGACTCCAGAATATCATGAGGTAGCAAGCAGTGGGAAGAATAGGTGAAAAGAGTGGAACAGATAGAAACTAAAGTGTGGACAAGAGCTTCATGGAGGTGGAACTGATACCACCCATCGGAAGTGCTGGCTGGGGCTTGGGTTTCTTCAGTGGATGGGGGCAGAGGCGAAGAGGAAAACTGCAGGATGAAGTCAGCTGCTGGTGCCAGAAGGTCCTGCCTCTGTGGGGGTGAGGAAGGCTGCTGGAGTGAAGGCCAAGTATGCAAAGGGAGCAAATCCTGCTCCCTTGTCTAGCCTCACATCTCCCTGCAGCACTCCTTAACTGGTAGACCCTAGCAGGGCACCCCGGGCAAGACAGGAATGACTCGAGTTTGCACAGACCTGGCCTTGGCATCCCTGAGCTGAGGTAGAAGGGGAGTTTGGGGTGGAGAGACATTGCTTAATAAGCAGCACATCTTCCCATGGCCAAAGATGAAGCCGTGTCTCTCATACTTCAGCTGAGACCCTCACCCCTTTCCTCCGATTCCCTAGCAGCTCTGTTGCACTTCACATTCCCACGTAGCCATTGCTTTTCTTCCATGGGGTGCAGAGGGCCAGGGTCTCTATCCAAGCTGAAGAAGCAATACCTACACATCATATGTCCTCTGCGTGCAGGGTTGGAGACTCAACAGCACTCGTCCCCATGTCTGCAAGCCCGGGAGTCCCCATTCCACCCACCATGTGTGTCTAGCACTCATTAAGCCCCTCCCCTGAGATGGCCTCGGTCAGGGCTGGCAGGAAGAGAAGCTGAGGGCCTACGTTCCTTCGTTCCCTTCTTACCCTCTCCAGCTCCTTCTTGTCATTTATGCTCACCTGAGTGTGGCACGGACACCTCATGGAATTTGACCTTTCCAGAAATGAACGATCTGATTTCTCAGGAAGGGACTGAACATAAGGTAGGTTTTAGTAATATCAAAGTAGCAATATCAATTAAATATCTGCCTGAGAGTCCTCTCTGGGCTTCCACATTCCAAAAGCTCACAATAAAATTAACTCCAAAGTTACTGAACTGAGGAATGTACAATTACTGTCTTGTTGGTGCAATAAAATAAAAAGGACTGCTTAGGATTTAATTGGCATCCAACAACCTGTGATGGTATGTTAATTAGACATCAATTATGGTAGCGCACTAATTGACGTGTGAAAGGCATTCTAACTGATAACCAGTGTTTGCTCTGCTGGATTAAGCGCTTTGATGGGCTGTGTGCGACAGCTGGGAGGCGCTTGTTCTGTGCCTGCAGCCTCCTGATGGCAGGGCCATCTCTGACATCTGACCCCGCTTTGGGAAACATCTCCAAGGGTCAGGAGATTCGACTGTCCTCAGATGTCCCTGTGGGAAAGGATCCTCTTCCTGATGGAGCCAGGCCTTGCCTGTTTTGGATGTGGAAGAGCTTCCCTTTCCCTGCCTTCCCTTCTTGGTTTGCTCAGCCAAATTTCACGGTGCAACTTATCTGAACGCAGTGTCTGGTTCTCCACTCCTTTCTGCTGCGTTCTGACTCTGGGTTTCATTTTACTTCTCCATGCAACAGGGATCTTGCTGAAGTCTCAGCACTATTGATAGGAAAGGGCTGGCCCCAGTTCTGGGCATGAGCAGGAGCTCAGTTCCTTTGTTTGATCTTCTCTGTCCTCTTTCCCTGCTGGCCACCTGTCCCCACTCCTGGCCCTGGCTTTGTTTTCTGTTGGACTGTGGCCCTCACACCTTCTTAATCCTGCAGCTAAGTTGAGACCACATTTTGTCCCCATCAGAATCTCCTTGGGTTTGAGATTTAAATACTGTTTCCACAATTCATTAGCTGCGTGACACTGAGTCAGTTACATCCCTTCTTTGATTTTTTTCTCCTGTGTTTTGGGGTTAATAACAACACAGTCATCCCTCTGTATCTGAACACATTCACAAATCCAACCAACCTTGAAAATATTGAAAATATTCAGGAAAAATTACTTTTGTGCCAAACACGTACAGATATTTTTCTTATCATTTTCCTTAAACAATACAGAATAACAACTACCTACATTGTGTTAGGTATCATAAGTTATCTAGAGATGACTTCAGCAGCCTCAGCATTTGGTATCCATAGGGGTCTTGGCCTTAGTTCCCCTGGATACAGAGAGATGACTGTATTTTGTCTTTAGTCTTAGTGCAAGCACATGGGATTTTACCTATGCTTGGTGAATGCTCAGCACATGCAGGCTATTGCAATCATCAGTCTTCTAGGACGAAGCCACTAAACTTGATTCTCAACCAAGCAATTTTTTTTCAGCAACCAACTCTTGCATATATTCAGGCCTCTACCACCCTTTGTTTCCAGGTGGAAAGCTGCCAAGTGGCCTCATTCAGTCTTCTTCCCTGCATTCTCTTGAGGACTGCTGGGTCATTACACCCAGTCCCTGGCTGCTGTAATAGGGCAGCTGTGTAAAAAAAAAAAAAATGTGTGTGTCTGTGTGTGTGCGCGTGCGCATCTGCATATTGGTGCACACTAAGAGCCAGGAAGTCCTAGTTCTCTTGCAGTATAAAAATGTGACTCTTTGCTCACAGTTGGTATTCTATCCTAAATTATTACTTGGGAACCTGGATTGCTCATGGATCTAGGTCAACTCAATGAGAACTAATTTATTGAATGGCTAATTTGCTAAAAGTCAACTCACCAGGACTTAATTTGCTGGAAGTCACTTTGCTGAATCATCAGATCCCTGAATGGCCAATTTCCTCAGAACTGTCAAAGACTCGACTGTGTTTAAGAAAGGTGGCTGCTGCTAGTTGGCTGGCAGAACAAGAAGCACCTGTAAAAGACTGAAAAGGTAAGAAAAGAACAAGGCACATGTCTGTGAGGATAGAAGATAGGAGGCCCCCAGAGAGAGCCCATGTGTTCACATGGTGTCCAGTTCAGAATCGCTGTGCCTTTGAACAGTCTTAGTCACTCTCCTTATTGCTGGGCTGCAATACCTGCACAACTTAAAGGCAGAGAGGTTTACTTTGGCTCACAGTTTCAGAAGTTTCAGGCCATGGTTGGCTGGCTCAGAAGTGGCATGGTGGAAGGGTCTATGGTGGAGGAAACCGCTCACATCATGAGCCAGGAGGCAAGGAGTGAAGGGAGGAGCCAGATACACCATTCCAGGCTACATCCCCAGTGGCCTGCCTCCAACTGCCAGCAAATCAGCTATAACTCACCCATGATCCAAGTATCTTTCAAGAGTCCCAGCTCTGAACCCATGAGACTTTGGGAGTACTCCATATTTTTAAAATTGAATTTATTGGTACATTTTAGGGATACAGTACAGTTACATTCATCATTGGGATCTTGTACCTTTACATGACAGGTCTTGGTTCTCATTCTTTCCCCTTGCCCCTAGGGAGCACTCCATATTAAATGATAAGAAACACTGACACACACAAGAGTTCTACATCTGATCAGCCTGGCAGGCTGCTTTGTAGCTATAAGAAAGTGATGGTGAAACTGAAACAAAAAATAAATTCTCAATAAATCGACAATCCTTTATACACTGGCTTCGGCAAACTGACTCTCAGCAAATCATTCTATTTCCTTCCACAGTACATCCTTAGCCTCAGCTGTAGTGATACTGAAGTGGGAAAGGCCCACTGAGAGAGGCCATGCATCTGGCCATAGAGAACAGGGGCTGGTAGTGACATTTATCTGGCATCCACATCTCAGTCAGGGCTGGGGGAGCAGGGACTGGAGGGAGAAGGGGACCCAATGGCTTGGGTCTCTGGGAGGTGATGGAGTTGTCGATTAAGTCTGGTAGTTCTCTGTTTCTGAGGGCATGCTTAGAACCGTCCTAGAAGTCAGACACTGCCTAGGAAGGGACTTGCAGAAGCTCAAAGGAAGTGACCTGGGTTCCAGGCAATAGGCAAAGCTCTAGGTCAGGAACCTTCTTTGATCTCAGATCTCCTGATTAGGAGCAAAACAAAATCAGCAGAGGCTGAGGACAGATTCCAGAACTCAGGGTGAGCTAGGGACTCTAGGATTTTTGAATGTAGGCTCACTTAGTCATTAAAAAATTATTGTATGCCCACGGCAATAAAAAGAAACATTACCTGATATATATAGAACATTGACTGTCCCAGAACCATGTTAAACATTTATGTACATTAGTCACTTAATTGTAACAGTAACTCTATAAGATTGTTCTCATTTTAATACCATTTACAAAGTACTGAGTCTGAGGCATTAAGAGGTTTGCAAAAGAACATGGAGCTTATAGGAGTTGGAGATGGTCCTCATATCTAGCCGTCTGTGGCTCCAGGGTTATACTCTTGACCTAAACTTCACCTTGTCTACACACTCAGAATCAAGTTTTGTATTGGGTTCTGGGGACAGAAAGAGCAGGCCCACTTTCTTTTTTGCAGAGCTGTCATATGCAGTCACATGTAGCTGCAACAGCTCATCTTAAGCTAGTAGTTCCTTCCAGGTACTACCCAGAAAGAATTGGACCCTGGAAAGGTCTCAGCATGCACTGGTTAACTGAACAGCAGGCAGAACTGGTCTCCCACATCCTAACTACCCCAACTCACTGGAGATTTCCCTTCCAGCACGCGTTCTCTGACTCTTGCTGAGTACTTCTAACTAGAGTAAGGTTAGGCTGGTGAGTGCCCAGGAAAGAACTCTGGTTAGCGAAAGAGCTAGCTAAAGGCAAAGGCTAAATTCTGGCCTCATGTCTAGTTGGAAAAATGAGGACTGCTTTCTTAACTATTCTTCCTAAATGTGACATGCTTTTATTGTTATATACCAAACAAAATTTCTTGTTTTCTCCCTATTGTTTTCTTATGTTTGTTAGTTGGAGTTAATTTTACAGCATTATTTTAAGTTATACAGGAGAGCAAAAGGAAATTATGATAAAATGAACTGAAGAATAAGTATCACACAGATGTGGATAGGATAGCTAACAAGCTTTAGACCTGCTCTTTTGGAGAGAAAGACCCAAAGTTGCTAATTGTATTGTGTTAGAAAGAAGTATGTTATCATTTGTGAGTTTATATGTGGGCATCTTCTTTGTTATGTCATGTATTTACCTAATTATTCATTTTTATCCATCTTTTTTTTGTTTTGTTTTGTTTTTTTGAGACAGGGTCTCACTATGTAGCTGAGACTGACCTGGAACTCACTATGTAGCCCAGGCTGGTCTTGAACTCACAGCGATCCTTCTGCCTCAGCCTCCCAAGGGCTGGGATTACAGGTGTGCTTTTATCACCATACCCAGCTTTTATCCATCTTTTTACATGATTTGTATATAGTGTATTATGGTATTGAACTCCACCATTCAGTTCATCATACACAAAGTATCAATGCATAGAACCAGAAGGGGAGTGGGCGCTGTATAGTAAGAATAGATATGAAAGAAGGTGAAATATTCAAAGACACTTTAGATTGTCTCTGCTTTAGGGAAGCAGATTAGTATCTTTTACTGGATTAGTTTCATTATTTTAGGTGAGAATATTATTGTGATTTGGAGGATTAAATATAGAAGAAGGTTATATGTTGATGTTGGAAAATTAAAGGGTGAAGACCAGGACTGCAGTCTGCACTTGGGGCTGGGTCGGAGTTGTGCATGTTGGCCAGAGAAGCAAACAGAGGCCACATTTCTGCAGGAAGGTAGCAGCGGTGCCTCGTGAAGCCTTAGTAATTGAGACAACTTTGGCTCCGTGAGGTTTTTTCTTTGTATTTTCAATCAGCACTTTATCACAGTTGAAATAAATTGCCTAATTTCATTAGTAATGTTGATATTTAAACAGTAATGATAAGTATAACCGTGCATTTTTTAAAAGTTAGCAAGAGAAGAGCATTCATGAACCATCTCACTTAATTCTCTGACCCTGTGAAGTCTTAGTATTATTAATCCATTTTAAAAATGAAGAAACCCAATTTCCCGAGCTGAGATTTCCACTTCGCAGGTGTCTAGAGCTAACAGGGGCACCAGGAAGCCCCCTCACCCCTCGTGGTGCATCAGTCAGAGCTGTTTGGAGGGGATCCTGTCTTCCAAAGCGAGCTCACCTGGTACACTTACGTCACACTTGAGAGCCACTGGACTCACGGTTGCAGGAGAAAGAGGCTGTTTTGTTGTAGATTTTGTTGTAGGAGGTGACAGTTAATGCTGAAGTTCGCTTTTCTGAGGTACACAGGGAGCAAGCTGGTCTTCACCACTGCAGGGCAGTAGGGGCAGAACGTCAAAGCCGGACTCCACCTGCCGCTCAGATGCCTCCTGTTACCCACCGGAGACATCCCCACGCATCATCTTTGACACAGCTAAGATTTGTCGTTGCTTAAGACTGCCTAAAACCGTTTAATTCCAGGAGAGTGTGATACTAACTTACGAGGTTGCTTTGGGCTTCGGAAATAGGACTTTTGAATTCTGAGTGTCATTGGCCGGTACTGGAGTATCTTCACCTGATCTCCAGAGTGTGTGGTATAGCGTGCGACAGGCAGCGTGGAAAAGGCCCAGGAGCTGTGGGAATACACGAGGGGGTGGTATTTATGAACTTCCCTGTCGTCCCCTAGGCATTTGCATAGTGACGTCAGAGACGTGTCACAGAATATTTACAAAGGTGCGCAGTTTTATGTCTCCATTCTGACTCTGTGCTTGTGCTCTTGGTAAAGGAGAGGGTTGTGGCCCGCTCTGCCAAAGGAAACCCACATTCGGTTCCCTGGGACCACGCCTCTGGCACAGGCGCCCCCTTCAGGCTGGAGCCCCCCATGCAACCCTGGCTGGGTAGCAGCCTGACGAGGCTGAGCCGTGGGAAGAGGGAGGCTTGTGGTTAGACCACTTGCGGATAATCGAAAGTAGGTGTTGTTTGGAGCCAGCTCGCCTCTCTCTCGTGTGTAGCTGTCTTTGAATCTGCCACATGAATGAGGTTGATTTTCTTTTCTTTTTTTTTTTTTGTGAATGGTGCAAAATAGTGGATAAGTTCAATTTTTTCCTAAATATTTATCAAATTATCTTAGCACCATGTTTGTTAAATTTCACAATTTTCTAAGGATTTTAAATTGATAAATTTGATTCTGGCAAGTGAACCTAGGACCCTGTACATGCTAAGTGTGTATTCTATTATTGAACTACAATCCATCCAAAATTTACTTATTTTTGTTTCTATTTGTTTGTCTGCTTTTGGGTTTTTAAGACAGGAACTTGCTAGATTGGTCTTAAAATCACTATATTAGTCCAGGCTGGCCTCAAACTTATAGCAATCTTTCCGCCTCAGCCTCCTGAGTGCTAGCATTATAGTCATGCACCATCATGCCTTGGTCCTAAATTTATTTTTAAATGATACATAATAACATATTTTGGATTGGATCTTTGAAATTGGGTGGGAACTTGATTTTCTTGAATTCTTCATATATTCTAGAAACCAGTCCTTTGTATCAGGAAAAGCTGGCAAAATTTTTTCCTATTATGTGGGTTGTCTCTTCATTCTGTTGGTGGTTTCTTTTGCTGTGCGAAAAGCTTTTCAATAAGACAAGACCCCAGTTGTTGATGCTTTGTGATATTTCCTGTGCAACTGGGATTTTGTTCATAATGTCTTTGCCTACACTGATGTCTTCAAGAGTTCCACCTAATCTGTCTTTCATCAGATTTATAAACATTCCTTTATTTATTTTTTTCTCATTGAGTTTATCGGTACATGTTAGGTATACAGTGCAGTTACATTCCTTGTTGGGATCCTGTACCTTTACATGACAGGTCTTGGTTCTCAATTTTCCCCTTGTCCCTGCCCTCCCTTCACCCCTTCTTCCCTCCCCCTTCACAAACAGTTCATTTCCATTTTTTCATTGTTTTAACATTTAGATCTCTGATCTATTTTGATTTTAGTTTAGTGTATGATGAGAGATATGAATCTAGTTCTAGTCTGGCATGTAGAAAGCCAGTTTCTCCAGCACCATTTATTAAAGAGGCTATGTTTCCTGTAGTGAAGGTGTTTGTCCCCTTTTTCAAAGATAAAGCGGCTGAGTGTGGAGTTTCTGCATCTTCTAATCTGTTCCATTGATTCTCAGATTTATTTATTTATTCTTTTGCCAGTACCAGGCTGTTTTTTTAAAATCACAGTAGATCTGCAGTATAATTTCAAGTCAGAGATGCCCCCTGACTTGCTTGTCTTGCCTAGAATTATTTTTTGCTATTTTAGGTTTCTTCTGGTTCCAAATGAATTTTAGCAATGTTTTCTCTAGTTCTGTGAGGTATGTTATTGGTATTTTAATTGGAATTGCATTAAATCTGTATAACAATTGTCAGAATATGACCATTTGCACTATATTGGTTATTCCTATCCAAGAGCAAGGGATCTCTTTCTATTTTCTGATATCCTCTCTAATCTCCTTTTTCAGAATACTGTAGTTTTCAAAAGAAAGGTCTTTCACTTCCTTCATTAGATTGACTCCTAAGTATTTCATTTTTTTGGTGCCATTGTGAAAGGTATGGTTCTTTTAATTTTTCTCTCAGTGAGTTTGTGTACAGGAATGCTATTAATTTTTGAGGTTGAGTTTGTACATACTTCTTAGATGAAGTACAAAGGGAAATAAATATATGAAAAAATGTTCAACATCACTGGTTGAAAGATGCAAATTAAAACAACATTAAGATTGGTGAAGGGAGGGCAGGGGCAAGGGGAAAAAATGAGAACCAAGACCTGTCATGTAAAGGTACAAGATCCCAATAATGAATGTAACTGTACTGTATACCAAAATTATTGGTATTATGTACCAATAAACTCAAAAAAAGAAAAAAACCCAGAAAGATTCAATGTCCCTCCAGAAATAATGGTTGTTATCGAGAAATCAACCAATAACAAATGCCGGCAGGGCCGTGGGGAAAAAGGAACCCTTCTCCTGTTGCTGGGAGTGCAGATGTGTAACCACTGTGGATATCAGTGTGGAGATTTCTCAAAAAAACTAAAACTAGAGGTTCAATTTGACTCAGCTATTTCCCTTCTTGGTATCGTCTTGAAATAAGAAACATAGTACCATAGCAATATATGCACACCCATGTTTGTAGCAGAACAGTTTGTAAGAGCTAAATCTTGGAAACAGCCCAAATGCACATCAACCAATGAATGGGTAAATAAGATGTATTTCTTTTACTCAATGCAGTATTACTCAGCCACAAAGAAGGATAAACATGACACATTTCTAGGTAAATGGGTGCACCTTGAGACCATACTCTAAAGTGAAATAAATCAGCCACACATGTGTAAATATCACCTTGTTTCTCTGGTGGTGTGAGAAACCCTAAATGTAAATAAGGACCAAGGTACATAATAGATATTTTGATATAGGAAGAAAATGTTCAAATGGAAAGGAGAATTAGGGAACGGGGAGTGGGTGAGGAAGGAAAGGAAAAGAAGAAAAATGAGAAGAGAAGGATAACATGGAAACAAAGCTTTTGTACATGAGGGGAAGAGAGGTGTTGAAAGGATGGGAGGAGAATGCGGAAGAAAAGAAGAATCAAGATATATGATGTTCAGGTTCAAAGTCCCTGTGATTAATGTGATCAGTGTGTATATCCAAAATTGTACCAAGAAACTTAATTAATTAAAAATGTGAGGCTAAATTGAAAAAATGACACATAAAAACAAAACAATATGTGTTTGTGAGATACTGTGCGATGCTTTGATTACTATAGCTTTGTAGTGTGTTTTGAAATTAGGTAGTGGAATGTCTTCTGCTTCGTACTTTTTGCTCAAAATTTCTTTAGCTCTTTGGGGTTCTTTCTGGTTCCATAGATTTTTTTTTAAACTTCTGGTGAAAAATTCTATTGGTATTTTGATAGAGTTACATTATGCAGATTGCTTTGGGTAGTATGAACACTTTTCCTTCTCTCTCTCATTGCTTATACAGGTTAATGGATTTCACTTTGACTGATTCGTATACAAATAACATACTTTGATTACTTTCATCCTCCCACCCCCTCGTCCCGTGCTTCTCTCCAGTTGCACTTTTTTGGGGGTGTTTCAATATGTATAACATATTGTACTCGTATCCACCTGATTACCTGCCCTTAATCTCTTCCCCTACTTTATAGCCTCTTCCTCTTCTCTGTCAGTCTCCCTTCTTTCTTCTCATTTATTTTAGATTTCCACATATAAAAGAGATCATGTGATATTTATCTTCATGATTTTGACTTATTTTGCTCAATCTCTATAAACATTTTAATACTATTGATTCTTCTAATTCATGAACATAAAATGTTTTTTTTCCATTTTTGGGTGTCCTCTTCAATTTGTCTCATCAATATTTTATAGATTTCACTGTAGAGATCTTTCACCTCTTTAGTGAAATTTATTCTTAGGTATTTCACTTTTTATAGCTATGGTAAGTAAGATTGCTTTGTTGATTCATATTTTAGTTCACTGGGTATTGGTATACAGCAATACTACTACTGATTTTTGTATGTTGAGTTTACGTTCTACAACTTTGCTGAATTTCTTTATTAATTCTAATAGGGTTTTGGTAGAATATGTGGGGTTTTCTCTATATAAGCCTGTGTCATTTGCAAACAGTGAAACTTTGACTTTCTCTTTTCAAAGTGAGTTGCCTTCATTTCTTCTCTTGCCTGACTGCTCTGGTTAGGATTTATAACTGGAATAGAAATGCTCAATGAAAATGGTAAAAGTGAGTGTCCTGGTTTTGTTCCAGATCTTAGAGATACAGTTTTCAGCTTTTCCCTATCAAGTATGAAGTTAGGTGTTGGCTTATTATGTCGATATATGTTCCTTCTATATCTCATTTATTCAAAATTTATATCATGAAAGGATTTTTGAGTGTTATCCAATGCCATTTCAGCAGCTATTGAGATGAGCATATGGTTTTTGTCCTTCATTCTGTTGATATGTTGTGTCACATGTATTAATTTGAATATGTGGGACCATCCTTGCATCCCTGGGATGAATCCTATTTGATCATGTTAGTCTTTTTAATGTGTTATTTAATTTGATTTGCTAATAATTTACTGAGAATTTTGCATCTATACTAATCCAGTATATTGACCTATTTTTAAATTTTTTGTTGTTGTTGTCTCCCTCCCTCCGTCCCTCCTTTCCTTCCTGCCTTCCTTCTTTCTTTCCTTCCTTTCTTTTTTTTCTCTTTGTTGTTGTTTTGGTATGAGGGTAATACCAGCCTCATAGGAGTTTTGAAAAATTCTTTCCTCTTTAATATTTTGGAATAATTGAAGCAGAATTGGCATTAATTCTTCTTTTAAAAAACTGGTAAAATCTGGCAGTGAAGCCATCTAGTCCTGGGCTTTCCTTTGGCAGGAAATTTTATTGATTCAACCTCATTACTTCTTGATCTGTTCCAGTTTTGTATTTTTTCCATGATTCAATCATGGTAAGATGTATTTTTCTAGGAATTTGGCTATTTCTTCTAGGTTTCCCAGATTTTTAGTGTATAGTTATTCATAATAATCTTGTTACGATTATGTTTCTGTAGTGTCAACCTTAACATCTCCCTTTCACTTCTTTATTTTA